ACAAATTTAAACCAAAAGCTTGGACCTTTCACCATCCAAATGGCACCATGAAGCTCAAAATGCCAAGAAGATGACCTCTCACACCAAAACTCAGAAAACAGCCCTTAAACCCCACCAACCAGTGACCAAAAACTCAGAGTAAGGTTATCTACTCACTCTCAAAGCCAACTACTCAGTGTTTACAAGGTTCAAAGTGTATTAGCTCTCATAAAAATGGTGTCTTGAAGGATTTTGTGAAGAAAACTCAATGGAACAGTGAAAAGGGAAGGAGGCAGCAGCTACACACACACAACCCACGCATAGAATGGCTGAGTATCAGCCTAGGGTTATGTGCAAGTGACTATATATAGTCTACTTAACACTAACCACACAGTATTAGCATTAATAGCTACGCTTAGCATTTTAATCCAAAACTTAGGATTATGAACCTACTCAATTTTACAAGATTTATCATATTTTTATATTAATTTTCGCAGCACCTTTCCGGTACGCGCTTTTCCATAGCCAGTATCAGTTCTGGCACCATTTCTCATTATTTTAACTTGAAACTTGAAATCACAGTCCTACCTATTATTCTAGGAATATTCATGCACTTATTACAATTTTCCGGGATACTTCATCGGTATGCATTTATACCGAGTAGCAGAACCGGTATCTGCATTTTTCGTCAGAAAAGCGACTTTCAACATTATTACTCCCTTTCTATAATTATACAAGCCTTATCATAATTATTAGGGTCAATTATGGAACTATCTCATTAATCTCATAATTATCTAATTAATTTTCTTAATTAACGGTGCGGGTTCTTACAGCAGCCCTCGACAGTGCCTTCCCCAGTTGTGGTTGGTAATGGTTGTGTTTTGAATAGTATCGCGGGGAACACCTAGAGGGTTGCAAACACAAATGCGGAGAAAGATAAGCTACAAGCAGCGCTAGATTAAGCTTGTGATGAAGGAGGTTGAGATCCTTACACACATGTGGGCAGCTTTGCTTTGGGTGTATTGAGTTACGAAGACCCCAACCTGAGGGTTATTGAGAGGGGTAAGTGTTGGGGGATTTTTTGGGTCCGACCTTGAGTAAAATTGTTCAGAGCATTTTTGCTTATTATCCTTATCTATCGAAGATGTAGCTGAATTTTGGTGATATAAGAGATTATTTCTTCATGGTGCCTGTATGGAAAAGGGAATTGAGCCTGTGGGAAGGGTTGTTCACACTAAATGGAATGGGCATTTTTAGTCTAAATGAACCTCATTATTGTCAACCACAAGATAAGTATGTGAACCAGAGTAATCTATCAATTGCAGCTACTGGCTTGCTACAAGAAGTAGCAAAGACACTTTTCAATAATTACAAAATATTATGTATGTATTTGGGTCAGAAGAGTAGCCCTTGGGTTCCAATTGTAGTAGAGCAGGAAGTGCAACTACGTAAATTGCTATATAAGGGTACCTATCTTCCAATAGGGACGAAGCTGCCGACCCAAAATTCCTACTAAAATGCCTTGGCTATGTCTATAACCATATGGCTTTTGACCGTGGGGGATGTAATCATACTTCTTGCATAAGTGAATCCTTACATTTCAAGCATTGGGACCTTGGGAGAAGGTTTTCAGAAGCTATTCTCCACCTTGAGGATAATGTGCTTAAATTCGGGTGAGTATTTACAAAAAACCATTACTAAAGGTGTACACTAGAAAAAAGCCATAGGAAATCATTAGCACTGGCTGAGTCAGCAAATAGGAAATTAGAGGAGGATATCACTCAAGTTGTTAGTCTGTTGGAGGCAAGGATCAAGCTCCTACAAGGGTTAAATTGAGGTTGGCAAGGATCATTAGGCACCTTTGGCTTGGAACTGTGAATTAAGCTGGGTTGGGAGAGCACTTTCGAACCTGCTCTGGGTTTATCTTTCATTTCTTTCCATTTTTTTGTTACTATAATGTCATATGTTAAGTTTCAATCTACATCATTGAGGGAGATTTCATTGTAATCCTTCATCATCAAGTTGCTGTGTTATTGGAAATATGTGTTGGTTTCTATCGTAAGGTGATCGCATTCCTTTCTTCAAGCTTTCAGAGGAAGGTAAACTCACTGTCTTACTTGAGTTTGTTGATGACATTATTAAATCAGGTAATGACTCAGTTGGGAAATGTCTAAAAGACAAACTTGAAGCTAAATTTGAAATAAATAATCTTGGAAGACTCAAATATTTTTGTGGGTTTGAAGTTGCTTGCTCTAAACAATTTATATTTATTCTCAAAGGAAGAATGTTCTTGACCTCCTTAGGGTATTCGAGAAGCTAGGTTTTAAGGTTGTAGATGATCCTATTGAGCAGAATAACAGAATGGGAAATAATGAAGAAAGTCCCATAGTTGATAAAGCTCAAAATTAGAGTTTGGTTGGTAAGATGATATGCCTTGCCCATACTAGTCCAAATCTGTTATACGTTGCTAGTGTTGTTCGCCAATTCATGCATGGCTCAAGATTGAGACACATATAGTGGACAAGATCCTACAATATCTTAAAGCCACGACAACTAGCAAAGGATTATCATTCTTAATAAGTGAAAATCTGTCCATGGAAGTGTATATAGATGCTGACAGTGTAGGATTGGTTGTTGGTAGGAAACTTGTGGTTATTGTAAGTTCTTGGATTTAAATTTGGTTATATGGAGGAGTAAGAAAAAGTATTGTTGCCTAAACAAATGAAGAAGCTTGAGTTTTGGGTTATGGCTCAAGGAGTTTCTGAGCTATTATGACCGAAGATTATGTTGGATGATTTGAGGATAAAGTATGAAACTCCTATGAAGTTATAATATGATAGCAAATCAACCATTAGCATCCCGTTATCCGGTTGAACATGACAACTAAATAAATTCAAATAGACCAGCATTTCATAAAAGAGAAACTAAATAGTGGATTGATCAACATAGCTTATGTTTCTTTAGAGGTTCGGCTCACAAATGTGTTAACTGACTTCCTACAGAAATGTGTTAACTGACTTCCTACAGAGAGGTTACAAAGTCTTACCTACAAGATGAGTATGATAAATATTCATTCACCGGCTTGAAGGGAAGCTTTGTAATTGTTCCACATCTGTTCTTGCGTACTTCATCGCATAATATTCTATGTAAATCATTGTAAAATATTTTGTTACCATAGTTTAGTCATTATATTATGGAAGTAATTATTTAGAGCCTATTTGAATCCTCTTTTTTTTAAGCTAGAAGCTACTTATAAGCTAAAGCTAAAAAAAAGAGCTTAAAAAGAAAAGTTAAAAGCTATTTGGTAATCACATAAAATTTTTAGCTTAAAAATTACTTAAAAGCACATATTTCAAGAAAATTATCTCTCTCTCTATCTTTATAACTATTCATTATAAAAAAAGCACACAATTCAAGAAAAGAAGATAAGAGCTTAAAAAAAGCTTCTCCTAGGAGCTTTTAGGTTTTAGCTTTTTTCTTCATTATAAAAAAAGAGCTTTTCATTATAAGAGCTTTTTTCAAAACATGTTTGGCCTAGCTTATGCTTATAAGTAGCTTCTAGCTTAAAAAAGAGAGGATCCAAACAGGCACTTAGTTAGGTCTGTATATTAGAATGAATCCATGTAAAATACAATTCAAATATTAATATTTAGTATTTTCCTATTCAGCTTCTTGCTCCACTTTTCTTTTTATATAAACTAACTATGGATGGGGAATAGGGATTTTTAGATATGAACTATGTATTTGGTTAGCTTAATTAATTTGGATTTTCTATTAGTTTACCTGTTATTATTTGTATACGCTATATGGTTTGTGATTTGAGGGAAACTGTAACAACTCAACCTCAGAATTCAAACTCCAATACAAAAAGAAACATTTGTATTGATTCAAACAAGAAATTGAAAGTTTCAACTATTACACCGATGTTTAATGGAATGGAAAATACATAAAGTAACAAATAAACAAGAACAATGGATGAAATAAAGTCCCTGAACAAGTAACACCTAGAAGAATTAAGAGAGCTTCTGGTCTCTCCAAGACCAAGTCCCAAGTCCTTTCTGACTTTTTCCACCCCTCACACCTTCACCTAAATACCATCATGTGTCTAACTGTTTCTCTAACAGACTTGCCCTCTTGCCTAAATCAACATGTGGATGTTTTTTTCCTACACCTCTGCCTACAGTAGACTTGCATTTTAGGAGGGGATGTATCATCAAGCCTTGAAGCAAGTGGTAAGACTTCTCTTTTGTGACCAAAAATTCATGGTTTGAATCTAGGGAACAGCTTATATGCAAAAATGCAAAGTTAAGGTTGAGTACAATCGACCCTCACCCATAGCCTCGCACAGCTGGGGAGCCTTTCTGCACTGAGGTTTGCCCTTAATATAGTCTATGATTTGATTACACACACATAGAGAAGATTTTTTGACTCCAGTGTAAGATTAAAAAGTTTTACTCCTCATCTCAGCTGTTGATTTCTATCATACGAGGTAGGATCTTTTGACTACAGTGTGAGATTAAGAAATTTTACTCCTCATCTCAGCCATTGATTTCTGTCCATTTTGACGCTTGTAGCTTATTTGTAATTAATAATTAATTAATAGATATAACTCAATAAATTGTAGCCATCAGATGTATGAAAATCAATTTCTTATTCTTAAATTGATGTAAGAATAAAATGTCTTAAACTCATTCTTGGTCATTGATCCCTTTATATCCAATGACTCGAAAGTCATTAGATATAAGTGAAATCAACAACCAAAATTGAAAGTGTAATTAACATTGATGTAAAATGATCTTGACCCATATATTATATATTTTATATATGATGAATCAAGTCTCCCGAAAGCTTAAACTATTGTGTAAAAGCATATGAATATGATGTTGTTGGGGAAAGGTACGTGAATGGTTTTATTATATTTGTAACAATATATATACACATCATTGCTTACTTCTAAATTACATGGGCATGAAGAGTTTAAAATTGTAGATTCAATATTGATATTGACACCTCTTCTTTAGGTTTTTCCATGGTACTCCCACTGTTTTCAGAAAATAGCCTCTTATCCCGACTTACTTCCATATTTCTTGGCTTTGCACCTCCATTCCTTCTTCTCTCCATTGGGTATTAACTTATTCACTAGACTATTTTTTCAGCTGTTCTTTGAATTTTCTTGATGGAATGATGCATATATTTTTACCATTTCCTTCTTGAAACCTGTGCAGGTATGAAGCGATGTTCTATGCTGCTCTTGCTCTTGTACTTATGGCATGGATACTATTTGAAAATACACTTCTCAAGTTAAATATTGTGAATACGTCATCAGATTCCATTAAAAATGTTACGAATCATCTCATCCTTGGATATGATAATAGATCTTTGCAGCTATCTGATGTGAGAATCCCATTGGTCTTTGTAAGTCTTATTCTTTTTATTTTCTTTTTTCCTTCATTACTGGGTTAAATTTGAACATCTTTTTTATTTTGAGTAAAGTAAATTACATTAAATTTTGAGCTTTCACAAATGAGAGTCAAAATTACGATTTCCCCATTAACCTCTTTAGACTGATAGAATCTGTAAAATGGGATTGTATAATTTCCTCAAACAACCTACATATTCACCTCCCTTAAGCAGGTTTTTGCACAAAAGAAAAGATATCCAAGAAGCAAGAGCAAAAAAAGAAACGCAGACAACAATTCTTCCTGGTTACTTTCAAGACATATTATGATGGACTAACAGATTTGGTGAAATGACTATGTTTTTCAGAGTCAATCTATTTGGATTTTTATAATATTTAAAAATGTGAAATTTTGTAATTAAAATAAGATAATCTTCACTCAGAAAGACAAATGGTAGGCTTGATTAAGTATATGATCAGGGAAGTGCAAAGAGGTTTGGATGGCGTAGTGCTGAATATGTAGATTTGACAATGGTCGAATGTTTAAGTTGTCTCCACAATTGGTATAATGGAAGATACAGATCATCAAAAGACTATTTAATGAAATAGATTTCCTCTGATAGCCAAAGTGTTTGTTATGATTCAAGGCCAACCAAAACATCTAGATTATGCTCAGATAAGCTCCAAGTCTATTAACATAATTGGTCCTTAATTTGATATGTAAAGAAACCACTGTATCTTGCAGATGGTTTTATTCAACATTGCCTTCTTTGGAACGGGAAATTTCGCAAGTATTGCTAGTTTTGAGATTTCATCTGTCTACCGGTTCATTACTATCTTCAGTGTAAGTAAAGTTGAAATTTTTTAGATATCTATCTTATCTCTCTTTAATAAGCTTTTGAATGATATGTTTCCTCCTAATTGCAGCCATTTCTGATGGCAGCGCTACTTATCTTCAAGTTATTTATACCCTTCATGCTTGTAATGTAAGTGCACTTGCAAATTTTCTTGTGACGCCATTTATAACTGTTACACAATATTACTTCTTTGAGACTCACCTAAGATAGATGGGAAAAGTCCTTTCTGTCTGATGATTCATCCCAACTAAACAATATGACTTCTAAAGCTGTATTACACATGAATGGTAAATTTTTTGCTCAAGGATAGATTTATTCATCCAAATAAGGACTGAATGTTAGTTGTCAGATCAGTTGCTAAGTGACTAAGTGCTACACATTGTTCTTCTTGAATATGTTTGGTTCTTGCATTTAATCATATAGAATAAAACTTTATAAATCTTATGATAACTTTTTCTGTTTCCTAAAATTGAGTAGGAGGAGAAAACAATGTTTCACTGGTATAGTCTGTAGATTCCAAATTCTATTATTTCATAAATAATGCTTTTGGCATTACAGCTTCTGTTTCATACTGATATATTAATATATTGTTACCAATTAACAATTGTATTTGTTCTGAATCTTTTGTACAATTTTTCATCTTATATACTTGCAAATGATGGAACTGCAGATGTGTATTCAGTGCAATAACCAAACTGAACCAAGTTCCAAGGTTGGGATGCTATTTTCTTGTTATATTATTGTCAGACGTAATGACCATTCACTTCTTCTTCCTGGTATACTCACCCTATTCTTCGTAATTTCATTTGATTTCTATAGTCTTCTGTAAATTTTTATGATCCAGTTCTTGATTTTTAAACTGTACGGTTGCCTTCATTTCATTATAGTAAATGCAACCGATCAACTGTGACACTCAACAGTTAGAAATGCCCAAGATGCCGCAATGCTTTTCTTCCATTATCATTAGCTTATGTCTTTTTTCCCTCGGTTCTTTTTTGTTGGGTTCCTAGCTCCACTGTTTTTGATAATTGTGAATATCTGTTTATGATTCAAGGAAGGATTAATGAAAATAGATGTGTCTTTTATGATTTTCTCTCACTTTAACTAATGATCTATTTTGTTAACCAAATTTCTGTTAATGTTTCGTGATACAGAATGGTAAGTGTTGAAATTATAGGGATTTAAGTGGGGAAGGAAGAAAAGAGATTGAATAATCTAGAATGGATATTGATTTGATATGAAAACTGTGTTATAAAATACAAAGCAATAATTCCTTTATACCAATCGTATACTCCTAATCATAATTAAATACAAAAACAAATCATGAAATATAAGAAAATATGGAAACCGATCCTAAGAGATTATTTAAGATACTTTAAACTATTTTAAGATATAGTAATGATATTATGAGATATCTTCTAGATATTTTAACGTTTCCCAGCAAGTTAAAGCTTTCTAACTTTTAAGTTGTTGCAAATAAACCATTTAAAAAGAAAAATAAGCAGACAATACAATCTGGGCTCCACAAAACATGCTGGAAAATAGACTAAGGAATGTTGGGGATTTCAGAGAGACTAGTATTACTCCTAAGGAAACTTTTCAAGATGGTTGGAATGATCGTCAGCCTGAATAGCTGATTAAAATGTTGCATAACCAATAACTGAAATTTCTTCTCCAAGTATTTGGAAGCTTCAAATCACGAGAAAACTTGGAATGCCTAAAACAAATTGAAATTGAAAACGAGGATGGTGTCTTATAGGAAACTCAATACACAATATGAAAGCTATATTTATATTAAAGGTTGTGCGAGGACAGGTATTGTGGTGCATGTTTAATGCTATTGCATATTGAAATTACTTTAACGTGAGATTAACATGGTTGTTATTGATTATTTTATATTGATCAGTTTACCTAATTGAATGCCTGTTTTATTTCATTTTTTTTTTGGTGTGTACACGGCCTCTAGTCTAAACTTTGTTGATTTATTCGCTTTAGAATGCAACTTCTAATGTAAACATGTTCTTTGTCATTTGCTAATTTTAATACCCGAGGATATATATTTGAGAGCAGGTACCCTAACACTGTGTTTGTTGGTTGGTAGGTTCGGAATACGGGAAGTTGGATGGAAATTGGAAACAGTATCAGTCATTTTGGTATCATGAGTGCCCAAGTTGTTTTTGTTCTGTTACTATTTGCCCTCACAAATACATACACAAAAGACATGCACTGTAATTCAGCAGTACCCTCTGCACGTAAGGCAAATTAGGTTTCATCAAACTGGGATTTATCGTTCTAAACGAGCTACTTTGTCATCATTGAAATGACACTACACATTCTCGGTGGTGGCTTTGATGGTTTTATGACCAACCTGGTATTATGTTTCTACCCTGGCCAACTCTTATTTGTGTATGAGCTCCAGACTCGAAGGACTTCCCTGTGCTCGCTGACCTTCATAGAACTGGTGCTGAAATTTTGGCACATTAACAGTATTTCAATATTTGTAATCATCTACAACTATATTATTCAAGATTGAGATTGAGGGATAGTGCTGAGGAACTCAGGTCAAGCCAATCAATCATTGTGCCTCACCAACCCATGAACAAAGAACTTTCATATAACATTTTTTTTCTTTATATGCTTCCCCTTTGTATTTGAGTTGTACAGAGCTGAGCTTTGAGTTCAGTCCAGGTCTGGGTGATTTCAATATACTTGCTTCACCTGTCTTAAAAGCAACTAAAAATGGAATTTTTGTTTAATGTCTTGTTTACTGCAGTTAACGCAACTTTGACATACCTTTTTCTTTGCGGGATTTGTCAGTGAGGTTATATAATGAGATATTACTTTCTCGTTCACACTTCAATAAATTTAAACGTTTGGTATAAAAGAAAAGCATATTTAAAAAAAAAAACTAAAGTTCAGTATCAGTGTAGTTGGACTCATTTAATTTTGAAATCACAAAATATTGTTAGTACTTTGTACGACTAAGTTAGCGTATTGAAAGTAGAGATAAAGATATTTTATCTATTTTTTTTTTGTGTGTGTTTACTCTATTTTTCTTCGACACCGTTAGATTAGAATCTCAATTCCCTCACCAAAAAAATAAAATAAAATTAGAATCTCAATTAATATTTTTTTTTCTCTCCTATTAAGATTTTGATTTAACGGTATTAAAAAAGGATAAACATAAAAAAATATAGGCATTATATCATATCTCATTGAAAGTATTTAATTAGTTCAAACTTATTTATATTTAGGTATCATGATCATGAGGACTTGAGTATGTTATTTGATTATTTGCCAAATATGTTTCTAGTCTAAAGTCACCAAGAAAGAGCATTAGTCAATTCGACTAGACTAATGTATTGTTCTAAAACTGGTTTGTTAGCATTGCATATGATATTAAGCGCAGTTACAATCAAAATTATTGAATTAAAATTACGAATTAACTTTTTAGTTTTTTTTTTCTTTTAAACATAAACTTTGTAATCACATAATTCTAATTCTTTAATTATAAACCATACATTATGCGAAAACATAATTAATTAACTTAATATTAATAACCACATTTCCCCCATAAGCAAATATGGCATTTAACTCCTTGTCTATCTTTCTTAAGCATCTCACATTTAAGTGACATAGTCTTTTCCTAAGTGACATGGCTAATCATTCTAAGACCTCATATTATGTTGGGACAAGCTTATATAACTTCCCTAAGGTCCATCATCCTTGATTTAGGCACCATTATTAATTCAAAGTGGACTTATGCCTCAAACTGCAGGAATAATCAATTACCACACGAGGAGTAACAAACTACTCCACTATCACAGGTAGTAATTGATTACTTCAGGTAGATTAATCGAGTACTGCCCGAAAAGTAATCAATTACTTCCTGAAAGTAATCGATTACTTTCAAGACAGAGGCTATAAGTTCATTTCTACCAGGGTAGTGATCGATTACCTATTCGATTACTCTCTACACAGAGGGCATATCAGCCCTGTTTTGTTGCTTAATGGGGGGAGGGGGGTTTAACCCCCTTCCAAGTCCATTTCTTCACCAAATTGACTTTTCTTACATAACTCGTGACATTCCTAGACATTTCAAGGCCTTAAATCTTACATGTTACATGACTTGAACTTATGTAATGTCTCAATACACATGTTCTTTTCCTACTACATGACTTATGCTTCAAGAAATGCATAACATATACATATATCCATCAAAATACATAACTTGACATTCAAGCAATGTCTTAAACATTACATAAACTTCATTACACCTACGAATAACCTCAATTCCATACATGTCATAATAATTAAGATTACGAAAGTCCTATACAAAGTTTTCTACCAAATATACAAAGGACCGATACAAAAGTGTAACTGAACAATAAACTGATAAAAATACATATAACATGGTCTGTCTGCATAATTTGATTACATCACAAAAAAATAGTAATCAATCTCTAAACATATGCTATCATGCTATTTCTGGCCCCTTTCCACGTGAGGCTCCTACTCCATCTGTGAAGGTACCTGAAATGTATCCCCCACAACGCAGGGTGAGATAAAAATCTCAATAAACTAAGGGTCCTTAGAGGATCACTCCACCCTATAGTTCTTTTACTATGCAAAAGTAATAAAATAAACATAACATGCATACATCATAACTGTTACATATTTTGTTATACTATCATATTCTGTCTTATGCTGCTATACGGAGATATACTATTGTAGTGTAATAAATTGTTCTATTGTCATATGGAACTTCTAAGAGAGGTCCAAAAGGGCTATGCCTCTTAGGTATCTGTACCCCAAGGAGGTCGCGAAGGCTATGTCTCATAGGCATTAAGCCCCAAGGAGGTTCTGCAGTCTGTGTCTAAGGAAAGTAACTATATATATATGTGTGTGTGTGTGTGTGTGTGTGTGTGTGTGTGTGTGTGTGTGTGTGTGTGTGTGTGTGTATTCCAAGGAGGTTAACTAGGGCTATGTCCTAGGAAAATAACTACATATATAACTCTACTGGCCAGAGAGACAACTAAACTTACATACATACCATTAAACTGTTCACTGCATTACTGATAAATTGTACACTGCACAACTGATAAACTGTTCACTGAAATACATTATGCTCTAATACTACTACTATGCACAACATATCACTGAAACCATTACTCCAATAGAGTATAGTGGAACACACCAGGAGACTAACCCCAAGGTCCAGAAGTTTACTTGTTATATAATTCTGCCTAATGCTTTTCTCTATTGTAAGAGCTCTCAATCACAATCAACCGCACAAGACCAACCTATAGCAACATATGGAATTATGATTAAAACATACACTATACAACACATACACTATACAACACATAAATATCAAGTTTATTGGCTAGACTTCATCATATTCTCATGAAACGTAACTTACCCTCTTGTCAATAATTCAAGAAGCTCTAGTCCTGACTAAGTGTTGCCTGTAATGTGTAACATCCCATTACATACCAGTAGTGTTAACATTGCATGTGGTGTTAAGCGCAATTATAATCACAGTAATTGAGTTAATTAAATTACGGATAAACTTTTTTCTTTTATAAATCATTATTGTTAAACATTAATCATTTCCGTAATCAATTAAAACAACACCGTAATTATAAATGCAAAACTCGTAGAAGTATAAAACTTATTCATTATAACCCCTCCAAGCAATACCATTAACTCATGATTATAAATCACTCATTTTCAAAATTTGCACAGTGGTAATCGATTACCATTCTTGAGGTAATCGATTATCGGAAGCTACAGTAACAGACAATAGCTAATTTTTGGCTCCCCTGTTTTTGGTAATGGATTACCTTGCCATAGGTAATCGATTACTGAACTAGGTAATCGATTACCTATGCAAAAGTAATCGATTACTTTTATTCACAGTGGCTCAATTTTTGCGTCCCTTGTTTCAGGTAATCGATTACCACACTGAAGGTAATCGATTACCCTACTGTAAAAATCACAGATGACAACTTTTTCTCTTGAAAATAAACCAGGTATTCTACTCCAACACTTTAGTACTAATTACACAACAAGTTCCATTACTAATGTAGGCTCTAGGCCCTTCCATCTTGCATAATCATTAAACAATGCATCAATTACAATATTCACCATTTCCTTTACCATTTAAACATCATATGGCTCATTTACAACATTAAGTCTCCAAATGCCTCAAAACATAATGTGTGGCTATGGACAAGTCTCATGCTCACCAGAATACCAATATAAGCAAAAGGCATAGAATATACCTCAATTACAAAAGACTTAGAATGTAGTCATGAACACTCAAAAGCATGGCAATATAAACATGCAATATGTTCATAACCTAAGTCTAAAATGCTAAACCCTATGCTATGTGCATCAAATGTAATCCTCCAAAATGCTATGCTCACCATATGCACACCATGATCAACTCCTCCTCTAAGCAGGCCTCTTGCCCGAAGATCCTCCATGCTGAATATAACCTGAAATGATGTCCCCAAACGTGGGGTGAGATATACAAATATATCTCAGTAAACCAAGGGTACTAGAGGATCACTCCATCCCATGGATCACTCAAAGTACATACAATTATCATCATATAAAATGCATAACATACAAAATCACATCTTACTGGACTCACATCCAATAACATCCACACAAGGATTCCATTCAAGGACCCCATCATATAACTCTCGGGAAGCTTCCTGGTGCCTCTCCCATGGTTGAGACGACTCCATGGCAAAACCCAACTGGAACTCCTTAAGTCCCACATTTGGATCATCCTGGTACCGCTCCCAGAGACGGCCCCACGATAAAACTCGACCGGAATCCCCCAAAGGCATATCTCCAGCGGAAGTCCAAACCACACACATGTACTGGCCAGAGATCACAAATATGTTACACAACATGCTCCAAGCATCTCACACAATCATGGCAATAATGCATGAACATACATTTCATACAAAGTCAAAGAGCACATAATCCAACCACTAGGTGTGGCGGAACACACAAGGGGATAAACCCCGGTACCAAGAATTTACCTTAACTCCGAAAGCAATGCTCTCCAACGTAAGCTCCAAACTTAATCCACCTCTATCGAATCCGTGCGAGGTAACCTATATTGATCAAATAATCATGATGATCAACACTTGCATAAAGATCAATGCAATTTTTACCACAATAATACCCCACCTAACAATTTAGGCCTAAAGGCTTCTCACCTTTATTTCAACTATCTCAATTATTTTAACCATTGAACTAACTCACCACTTAACCATTTATGCACTAAGGTATCAACCATTGATTTCACAACATTCATCACATCATTTTGTTTTTCTTAAACCTCCATATAGGTCGAATTCCTCAAGGGAGTATCCTCCAAGGTTTTCAATTCAATTCAATCCTTACACACACCATACAACCTATAATTAACCAATGTAACTACTACACAATTTAATCATACAATCCTATCACATGCCAATTTCTTAAAATCATGCATTCTCACATCAAAATTTGCCTAAGTTATGAATCCATTTCACCAATAATTTTTATTGTATCAATCATTATCATTTATCATTCTAAGCATTTAATTCCATAGGAGACATACCATTTAATGCTCCTAACTAACCATCACAACTCATCAACACATAATCAAACCCTCAACCATTT